CCTCATGAACAACCAATGGGTCACAAATGAAATTAAAGAAGAAATTAGTTTCTACAAATGATAATGCCAATATGACATACCAGAACTCATGGGACACAATAAAAGCAGTCCTATGAAAGAAATTTATAGTAGTGAATTCCCACCTCAGAAAAAAAAATACAGCAAGCTAAATAAATAGCCTAATGTTGAATCTCAATCTTCTAGAAAAAGAAAAGTTAAACTCAAAATGTGTACATTGGAGGAAATTGAAGATCTGAGTAGAAATTAATGCAATGGAAACTAAGGATACAATACAAAGAATCAATGAATTGAACAGATTAAATGATTTGAAATCAAAGAGATTAAAAGATTTGAAAGATAAAATAATATAGGCACACCCTTAGGCAACCTCATTAAAAAAAGAAAAAAGAAAATAAGACTCAAACTCATGCAATTAGGAAAGAAAAGGGCAAAATGACAACGGACCCTGCAGAAATCAAGATCATCAGTATTTACTTTGAAAACCTGTACTTTAATAAGATGGAAAACTCAGAAGAAATGGAGGATTCCTGGATACATATGAATTACCAAAGCCAAATCAAGAAGATATAAAAACTTTAATCCAATAACAGTCAAGAATAAAAATAACTACGAACAAAGAAAAGCTCAAGTCCTAAAAAGAGTCACTGCTGAATTCTATAAGAAATTTAGAGAAGATCAAATGTGACTGCTTCTTAAACTGTAATGAAATTGGAAGGGAAGCAACCTCTAAAACTTATTACTGGAAACAAGCACCACCTCAAAACCAAAACCAGAGAACCAAACAAAAAAGGGAACTACAGGCCAATCTCCTTAATAAACATAGATGCAAAAATCCTCAATAAGATACTGGCAAAGAGAATGCAGCAAATCATCAAGAAGATCATACACACTAACCAAGTAGGATTCATCCCAGGAACGCAGGGATGGTTCCACACATGTAAATCAATAAATGTAATACACTATATTAACAAAATCAAGGATAAAACCCACATAATCATCTTGACAGATGCAGAAAAAGCTAAGTTCAAAACCCTTTCATGACAGAAAACTGGAATAGGTCTTTATCTCAATCTTATAAAACCCATCTATGACAAACCAACAGCCAAGATCATCCAAAATGGACAGAAATTGAAAGTTTTCATTCTAAAATCAGGAACAAGACAAAGATATCCAGCATTACCACTCCTATTCAATATATTTCTGAAAACAATAGCCAGAGGAACTAGATGAGGGAAAAGAAAGGCATATGGATAGGAAAGGAAGTCAAACTGTCATTACTTGGTGATGACATGACACTCTATATAGAAGACCCCCAAAACTCCACCAGAAGACTGCTAGAATTAATAATCAAATTTGGCAGCATAGCAGGATACAAAGTCAACACTCAAAACTCAGTAGCACTGTTGGGCGTGGTGGTGAAGGCCTGTAATCCCAGCACTGGGAAGTTTGAGGTAGGAGGATCCCTGGGTGTTCCAGACCAGCCTGAGATAAAAACAAAACAAAACAACAAAGAAAAAACAGCATTCCTGTAGACAAATAACAAACTCACTGAGACAGAAATTAGGGAAACAACACCTTTCACAGCAGCATCAAGAAAAATGAAATACTTAGGAATCAATCTAACAAAGGAAGTAACAGACCTTTACATAGAAAACTACTGTATTCTGAAAAAGGAGATCAAAGAGGCTTTCAGAAAACGGAAAGATATCCTCTGTTCTTGGATACGTAGAACCAATACAGTGAAAATGGCCATACTTCCAAAACCACTATACAGATTCAATGCAATCCTGATCAAAAAAATACCAATAGAGAAAACAATCATAAAATTCATTTGGAATCAGAAGAGACCTAGAGTATCAAAAGCAATTCTGAGCAACAAAGACAAGACATGGGCCACAGATTTGGCTCACTGGTTCTGCCGCCTTCCTCAAGCGCAAGCACCTAAGTTTGATCCCCAGTACCAAAACAAAACAAAACAAAAAGATAAGTCAGGGGTATCACAATCCCTGATTTAAACCTAGACTTGTATCTCTCACCATTTAACTAAACTAAAATCGAAATGGATCAAAGATCTAAATATTAAAATAGAAACAGAGGGGCTGGGGATTTAGCTCAGTGGCACTGTGCCTGCCTTGAAAGAGCAAGGTCCTTAGTTTGATACCTGGTATGGCAAAAAAAAAAAAAAAAAAAAAAAAAGAGAAGAAATTGAAACTGCTGGTAAACATAGGTATAGGCAAGGACTTCATGAATGCAAGCTCGATCACACAGGAAAGTGTGAACAACTGGGATCATATCAAGTTGAAATGATTTTGGAGAGCAAAAGAAAACCACCAACAGAGTGACGAGACAACCCACAGAATGGGAAAATTTTTTCCAGTTTCTTTTCAGAGGACTAATATCTACACTATATAAAGAACTAAAAAAAATAAATAAATAAATAAAAAATAAAAATCAGCCACTCTCAAATTTAAAGTCCCAATCCAAAAATGGCTATCTGAAATGAATAGCCACTTCTCAGATGAAGTAAAAATAGCAAATAAATACACCAAAAAATGTTCAACAGCACTGGTTATTAGAGAAATGCAAATTAAAACAACACAGATTCCATCTCACTCCAGAAGGAAATCAACCAAGAAGTGCTGATGAGGCTTTGGGAAAAAAGGAGGCTTTCTCCATGGTGGAGGGAGCATGAACTGGTAGAACCACTGTGAAGGTCAGTGTGGAGATGCCTCAGAAAACGGAAACTAGAAATTCCATTTGACCTAGACATTCCCCTCATAGGTATTTTCCCAAAAGAGTTAAAAACATCATACCACAGTGATATATGCACACCATGTCTATAGCAGCCCAGTTTATAATAGCTTAATCTTGGAAAGAGCCCCCATGCCCATCAAGAGACGGATAAAGAATATGCGTTATCTATACACAATGGGGTACTACAATGATATGAAGGATAAACCTGAGTCATTTGTAGGAAAATGCATGCACCTCAGACCATAATCTTAAGTGAAATGAAACAGACTTATAAGCTTATTGGGGAATAGAAACTGCCCAAGTCCAGGGCACTGGGTAGACAGAAAAGGGTCCAGCATTAGTGAGAGGTCACTGGGACTCTGTGGTCCTGCAGGAGGGGAGCGGGAGGAGAGGATGATGAGCAGTCTGCAGAGCTGGGGAGATGCAGGGAAGGGCGGGTGTGTGGGTTAGGGGACTTTCCTCTTCAAGTCGCACAGCTGCTGGGGGTGTAGTTCCGCAGGGAGCAAATACCCGAAAGCTAAGGCAAGGCCCTGGGCTCACCCCCCAGTACAAAACAAAACAAGTACGGTAACAGGTTACTCTACACACCAGTAAGTGTGGGCATGCTCCTGAAAGATGTTACTTTTAGTGCAATAATAAAATGATGCCAGCTGGGTGGGGTGGCGCACTCTTGTAATCCCAGCACCCAGGAGGCTGAGCCAGGAAGATCACTGAGAGTTTGGGGCTGGCCTTGGATTACACAGTGAGGCTTTGTTTAAAAAAAAAAAAAAAAAAAAAAAAAAAACTCAGAAAAGTTGTTACATGACCCACATCACAGCTGGTAATAGGAAACCTGAGTTGTTGGCACTTAATAAACATTTGTTCACTCAATAAAAGAAAAAAAAAAAGAGAAAAGAGCATGGTCGGGCTGGGGATTTAGCTCAGTGGTTCCGCTGCCTGCTTCGCAAGTACAAGGTCCCGAGTTAGATTTCCCGTACCCGACCCCACCCCAAGGAGCATGGTAGTCCCACAGCCCTCCCCCTTCTCAAGAAACTCTGCTAGGCCGTCTCGGTCTCCACAGGCCTGGGAGGAGGAGCAGGGCTGACACAGCCCTAGGAGCATCGGCCTGCTGGAAAGAGGGTGCCACAGATCAGACTTGTTCAAACCCACTGCTCTTTATTATGTCTCTGATCTTGGGCCATTAAGAAGCTCTGAGTCCCAGTTTCTCTCACTTTAAAAATGAAGATAATGCTTATTCGGCAGAGGTGCTATGAAGATTAAATTAAATGAAAGAACAGAAAGCAGGAAACAGCAACTGACTGGTACAATAAGCTTGCTTTAGAATGATAGCTATTACTTTTAAATTTGGGCAATAATTCATGAAACATTTACCAACAAAAGAGTCAGAATTTTATGCTTATACTTTCTAAAGTTTATTTCTAAATAAGAAAATGATATGGCCAGGACAGGACGAGGTAAAGAATGAGAAAGTTCACAGTAGTAGCCATCAGGGGAAAGCAACGCAGCAAATGTCAATCAGGGATCCTTTTGGTGGCTGTCCACACCTGTGATCCCAGCATTTGGGTGGCTGAGGTAGCAAGGCCTTGTCTCAAAACACCCAACCCCCCAAAAAACTGGGGGTGTAGCCGGGTATGGTGGCACATGTCTGTAATATCAGCATTTGGGAGGCTGAGGCAGGAGGGTTGACTCAAGTTTGAGGCCAGCCTGAACTACATAGTGAGACCCTGTCTCAATGTATTTGTGTTATGATATATATATGTATTTTTTGAGACAGGGTCTCACTATGTAGTTGAGACTGACCTGGAACTATGTAGCCCAGGCTGGCCTCGAACTCACAGCAATCCTTCTGCCTCAGCCTCTCGAGTGCTGGGATTACAGGTGTGCACCACCACACCCGACAAGATATTTATTTTGTAATAAAATACATAAAACCAAATATAAAGTATATTATTGGCACTTTATATATTTTGATTATGCTGAAATAAATTTGTTACTTCAACATTAGATAAGATATTAAATTACTTATTTAAAGAATGCCAAGTACCCTTTTTTTTTGGTACTGGGGATCAAACTCAGGACCTTGCAGTTGCGAGGCAGGCGCGGTGTCACTGAGCTAAGTCCCCGCCCTCTTTTTGTTGTTTTTTGAGACAGGGTTTGTGCTTTGTAGTTCAGGCTGGCCTTGCACTCACAGGGATCCTTCTGCCTCAGCCTCTTAAGTGCTAGGCTCATAGATGAGTACCACCACTCCTGGCAAAGTACATTATAAAGATGATTTTTTTTCCTATCAGGAAAAGAGCTTCAGGAATAAATAATGATATAGGCCCCCTTTCCCAAAAAAGTTTAAAAAAATGGTGTGGCAAGCACTTCCAATCCAAAACACTGGGTCTTAGCTGTGGACTGGCTCAGCGGGAAGTGCTCGCCCAGCAGGTGACGGCTACAGCTGCTCCTTCGCAGTGCAGCCCGTCTTCTTCTGCTTCTTGGACCATCCAGGTGCTACCTTCTTAGTCTGAAAGAGAAAATCAAATACAATGCTGAGAGGTAGAACACGCTCCACTCCATTCACAGCTGCTCCTCCGCTAGGAAGGGGCTGGAGGCCTGGCGGGATGAGCAGGAAATCCCTCCTGCGTGCTTCCGGCTTCCACAGCCACACAGCTACCCCGTGACTTACACACTGATTCTGTCCTTAAGTAATTTACAGTACAATCAAAGACAATTTCCTTTTAACTGTCTCATTCATAGGTGGGTATTCGTTTACTCAGTATCTACTAAGAACAGGTAGAGCAAAACACTGTGCTTTGACTCTTCTGAGCTACTAGGCGTGTACAGAGTGCTTCTTGGGATTCTGCTTCAGGACTGCAGTGTGAAAACAGCTGGGTGGCACAGAGTGGCAGCAAGAACAGTAAGACAATCAGATCCTCGGATGAGAACTGATTCTGATACCATTTACTGTAATCAACGTAATGTGCACCTTCCCCACTCATATCTGCTTAGAACTATGAAAAAAGTGCTTTCAAGTACCTATGTACATAGGCACACAGAAAACTATGACAACATATGTCTTCTTTTTTTTTTTTTTTCTGAGATAGGGTCTCAGTATGTAGTTCAGGCTGGCCTTGAACCCATGTAGCTCAGGTGGGCCTCAAACTTGAGGCAATCCTCCTGCCTCAGCCTCCCAGGTGTTGGGATTACAGCTGTGAACCACCATGCCTGACTTGTTTTTAGACTTTAAGCATTTGAAGGTGTATGATAAAACTGAGAAGAAGTTTCAGAGACCTCCCTCCCCAGCACGTGCCTACTCTCCTAGGCTATTAAGACCTTTCCCCACACTGGCACACGGCCACCACGGCCACTCAGAACCCCTTGTGTATACTGGGCTTCGCTACTGGTGGGGTTTGGTCTATGGTTTGGACAAAGGTCTAAAGACACGTGCACATTATTGCCAGGCATAGAGGCTCACACCAGTAATCGCAGCACTCAGGAGGCCAAGCAGGAAGATTACCACAAATGTGTGGCAGCCTGGGTACGTAGTGAGTTCAAGGCCAGTCTGAAGTATGCAGTGAGACTGTCTCAAAAAGTAAAAATGAACAAAACAACAACAGAATGAAAACATGTATGCATTATAGTATTGTATGAAATAGTTTCCTTGCCCTTAAAAATTCTCAAACATTTTTGCATTTATGTTTGTTATGTTTACAAGGTTATAGTTTTCTCTCCCTGTACTATTTTCACCTTTTTTTTTTTTTCTTGGTATAATGGTAATAGTGAACCGGGAAGTATTCCATTTGTTTCTTTCTTTTGAAAAAGACTATAAAGAACTGGTATCATTGCTTCCTTAAATATCTGGTCAAATGCACCAGGGAACCAGTTTTTTGGAAGCTTGTGCATTACTGATCCAGCCCATCCCCTCCCGTGGGAGCTGCGACAGACTGCATCTCCTGTCTTCTAAGGGACTGGTCCCTGTCCTGCGCTCTTGACCTTGTGGGCACAAGGCTGTTCACAGTACTCCGTTATTGTCTTGGAAAATGTGCCCAGGCTGCATGGCTATGCGCCCTTTGTATCTCAGACCCTAGCGATGTGTGCACTCTTTTCCTACCTGGCCCGTGTGCAGTAGTCACATCCCCACTCCCCACCTCAGGGACCTGGCAGCCCCGGGACTCCTTGTCCCGGAATATTCTCAGGCTTAACTTTTTAAGGGATGGCAGGTAGGTCCTCAGCCCAGAGCTACGTCGCCAACCCTATTCGCCCCTCTTCAGTCAGGAACTGTTAGGAGGGCAATGGGCACCAGTCAGCACCCTGACTGCTAAGTTCCAGGCAGTGCTGCCGGGCATTGTGGTGTGCATCCGTGATTCCACAAGGCAGGAGCCTGGTGCAGGGGGTCACAGTGAATCTGAGGCTGGCCTGGGCTACATTATGAGTTCCAGGCCAGCACGAACTACAAACAAAAACAAAAACAACAAAAATAGCAACAAAAAAAGTTCCAGCCAATGGGAAACAGAGACGTTGAGAGGCTGGGTAGAATTTTCAGCACAACTTTAGAAAGGGATTGTCACCCTCTTCTCCTTGCTCTTTGGATTTCAGAGGTGAGTGATTCAAAGAATGGAAGACCTTCTAAGAGCTGCTGATGACCCCGATAGGACACTAGCCTGAAACACTTATCTTCAGGGCTTTATCTGAAAGATGCGCCTGTTTGCTAAAGCTGCAGAACAGGTGGGACACAAGCTCAAGGATGAGACTCTTATTTCCAAACAGGCACTGTACCTGCCCTAGTCTATCCCGCAAGAGGAAGTGTGTGGGCCGCAGTGGGTGCTGACTGTGTCTTCAGGTTGGGTCTCTGCACTGGTGACTTCTATGGGAGGCCCCACCCCCCAGCTGGGTCTCTTATTCCCCGCAAAGGTCCCTGACAGGTGCAGGTTTGGACTTCCAGAGCTGTGCAGGGAATAACAGGATGAGATGGATTCCCCAACAGACATTATTAGTTTTTGCTTTTGCTTTTCAGTACTGGGGACTGAAGCCAGGATCTTTACACTGAACTACATCTCTAGCACTTTTAAAATTTTTATCTTGAGACAGGACTTATCTTGCTAAGTCTGCTAAATTGCTCAGGGTAGGTTGGAACTTGTGATCCTCCTGCCTCATCCTCCCAGAATTCTGGGGTTACTGACATGCACCACCACACCTGGCCTGGAGGCAGGATTTTTTCTTTAATGATAGTAAAGTTTTACTGCCTCTGAGTTTGGGTCAAGTAAAAGTAGGAAAGGAAGTACACTCTACTGGCAGCATAAGGGTGGGCCACGAGGCAAGGAAGAATGCAGCAGCCTAGAGGCAGGAATTCTTTTGTTTCCCTCCTAGAATAGTACCTGGAACAAAGTAAATGCTCAATGAACATGGTGGGGGAGAGAATCACTTGATTCCATATGGTTAAGCCCCAATATAGGACAACTTAGTAGAAAGGCCCCCTTATGTTGGGGAAAAGAAATGACTCCTATTCTCATTGGTGTAACGCTACTCAATACTGGACGGGACCCCCCAAGCAATGTATACACACACCTTTACAGGCCAAAGACTTGTGAAAGCCCCCAATGGCACTCACTGGTCCTATGGAACCAGCCTGTGGCCCTGGCGACCCCCCGATGGACAGGGAGCTGCGTGAAAGGATTTGTGTGGTCACAAGGCAAGAGTGTCAAAAGTGCCAACAAACCTACACACTTACCCTGTCTATGACACTGATGGTCTAAAAGTGTGTTTCACTGGTATGATCTTTTGCCTTCTATCTTTGTCCCTTCCCTAGGATGAGAAGATGTCATACCATACCCTGAGGGTTTAACTAATTATACTCATCAGATCTTAAACAAGGCCTTGACATTTCTCTCTCCTGAATGAGGAAGTAAAACTAATCAAGCAAGCCATCCTCCAAATTCAAGTGGCAATAGACGTCTTTTCTTTTTCTAGCACTGGGGATTGAACTCTGGACCTTGTACTTGTCAGGGAGGTACAGTGCCACCGAGCTACATCCCTGGCCCGGCCCTAGACCTTCTAACAGCAACATAAGCGGGTACTTGTGCAACTGTAAAAGCTGAATGTTGTGTGTACATTCCTGATCCTTCTGCTAATATCTCGATGGCTGTTCAAGATATTAAATGACAGGTTAATGCCATGTCAGATTCAGAAATTAGACAGCGAAATTACGTAGAAATATTGTAGGCAGGCAGGCAGTCAGGGCTAGGCTGACTCAATGGAGTCAGTACAGAAGATGAGGACACATAAAAAATGTGGCTGGAGGCATATCTGAAGAAGATTAAAGTCACAATGACTAGATTTGCATGCTTCCCTTCCCTAGGGGATAGAAGGAAATTTGAGATTGTTGGTACCACCCTTTTGAGAGTTCCCATACAAATACACCACTATTTCATTAGGGGTAGGTCTCCTCTCCCAACCACTAAGCCTAAAACTATAGATTATCCATCAAGGTTAATGATGTCATCCATGTACACTTGCTAGCAACTTGCTTTCCACTGAATCAACATTACCTAAGCCACTGTACTTATCCTCTTACTGGTTGATCATAATTTTGTACTCACCTCATGATTTTGTTCTATGAAACTTTCTCTGTAATGTGGAGCCTGAGGAACCTACTTTCTGGGTCCCCCTCCTGTCTCTCACGAGCTGTCTCTCCTTCAACAAATTTCCTACTATTTTTAAAAACAAAATTTCTACCCTGAAAACAAACAAACAGGCCGCGGATTTAGCTCAGTGGTTCCGCTGCCTGCTTTGGAAGCACAAGGACCTGAGTTCCATCCCCGGTACCACAAAACAAACAAAGAAACAAACAAACAAACAAAAAAGGGCCAGGGATGTAGCTCAGTGGTGCTGCACTTGCCTGGCAAACACAAGGTGCTGAGTTCAATCTCTGGTACCAGAAAACAAAAAACCCAACCCCCCTTAAAACCCACAAAAACAAAAACTAATAAAAAATGAATCCCTGTTGGTATCAAATTTGCAGGCATCCTGCCTCAGCCTGCTGAGTGCTGAGATTATAGGCATGTGCCAATTTGCCTAAGAATTTTTTAAAAGAATCGTTTATTTTAAAAGAAACACAAAAACAGACAAAATGCAGTACAGACTGTATGTAGTTCATGAAGCCTGAATTATTTACTGTCTGACCTTTAAGGATCAACTTTGCTAATTCTCAGCAGACAACTGATGAAATGGAGGTGATCATCCAGAGAGCTGAGAGTGGTAGTGCAGGCCTGTAATTCCAGCACTTGGGAGACTGAGGCAGGAGGATCATGAATCCAAGCCCAGCCTGGGAAACTTAGCAATTTAGTAAAACCCTGTCTCACAATTACTTTTATATATATACCTTTAACTCCTTTTTTCTTGTTATTTGTTTTTTTGGTACAGGGGTTCAAACTCTGGACCTTGTGCTTGCAAGGCAGGTGGCAGCACCACTGAGCTAAATCCCAAGCCCTCCTTTTTTTATTTGATAATTCAACTCTTTCAGCTTTT